AAACAATGATAAAGAGGAATGTATAGCAATGTCACTTTGAGCAATTGGGAAACAAACCTTTGACACAAACCAGAAGGCAAATAATAAGACGCCACAGCTGACAACAAATGAGACTACATCTAATTTGCTGTGCAATGTTCGTGTAATTAGATACATTTGGTACCAGCAAGAAAGCAGACAGCTAGAATATGGTCTTGATGAATTGGGGAACCTCTGTCAAGCTCAGATCACATTAATCATAAAACCAAAGCTCAGTGACTCAATTTTTCTTCCTAGCATACACGGTATTTTTCTAGAGGGGAAAAATGTATATGCAACTTACAAAAACCAGGCTAACTATAGATATCTATAGTCTAAACTATGCTAGCAGAGTCAAGTTAACCCATGCATAGGTTGAACCTATGGATATGTCTAGACTGGGTATGCACCCTGGGTATGTCTAGACTGCATCTAAACCGGGACTATCTGGTTTGGCAACATCCATGATCTGGCAAGATCAAGGATGTTCCAGGACCAGAGAGCCCCAGCAGCTATGCATCCAGCAGGAAGAGAGCCAGTGTCTGCCAGTGCGACAGTGGGGCTAGGAGCCTTACTAGGATAGTGGTAGGGGGCCAGTAATGCCCTTCACTGGTCCAGCAAAGTCCCTCATTCGGGACCAGTCAGATCCCGAGGGTTCCAGACCAGGGAGGTCCAACCTGTATGGTAAATGTGCAATTGTTCAGGATCAGCCCACCCCATGATACTCTAGTTTGGACAGTCTTAGCTTTGGACATTTTCTTTAATTGCCGTGTACTGATGAGAAGAAGTGACATTCTCCGCAGAAGACAGGGGAGGAGAGAAGAGGCATAGAAGAGGATGTGTAAGCGAAGGGAAAGAAGAGCGTGAAAGACAGGAAAGGAGACTGGAGAATAGAGGCAACAAGGCGATGAGGCTGAAGATGCAAGAAAGTAAAACACATGGAATAAAACCAAGAAGCGAGCAGGAATTTCACCACTACGTTTGTGCAGCAAGCGCTCCACGGCCACTTAGAACTTCACGGTAACAGCTTAAATGGAACTCGCATTCTCTTGTCCCTCCCACAGCCAGGCCTCTGGCACTCAAGCAAAAAGAAAAAGCTCTTACGAGCTGTTAGCAAACTAAAGCCTATCACAGAGAGATAAGCAGTTCTGAGTACATCCAGTGGTATCTAAGCACGCAAATAAAACAGAGGTCCATTTTATTTTCCAGTCTGGAGGACTTCCTCAATAATGTGGTACCCAACAGTGAACCTTTGCACTTGCATAGCAGTGGGCTGCTGTTGACCTTCGGCGCTTCGCCATTCATAGAGGTAGCTCTTTAAAGCAGGCTCCAAATGAGGGGTTAATATGGCTGGACTTTCAAAGGGAGAGCGACTTTCCTCTTCTGAGACCTACAGTCAAGCTCTTTGTGTCCAATATTCAAAACATTATTCGAGAAGTTGCTCTGCACTGGGTATTGATGAGCTAAAGGATCATAAATGAAAAAGGGCTTTCGCTTTGAGCATCCAGTTCTGTTCATACAACTTGTTACCCTAAATATTAACAAGTCTCTACTGGTTCTCTGCTTTGGGAATGTGGCCATTAGCAATATATCTGCACTCCAGGATGGGTGAACTGAACATCTAACTTGCTGGCCACCAGACACTCTGGGTATGTCGAAACTGCATCCCTCTGTCGGCAGAGGGATGCAGATTAGGCAGGTCGACGTTGAAAAAACGCGGCAGTCTAGGAGGTTTACAGGATCTGTCAAAAAAGGCTTTCTTTCTCGACAGATCCCCCTCTAGACCTCCACTTTATGCCGACAAAGTGCTGAGTTGGCAAAATGCGGCGGCCATTTTAATGCAAATTAGGTGTGGGATATTTAAATCTCTGCCTCATTTGCAATGTCGACCTGCCTAATCTGAGATTCCCGTCACTGGGAATCATCTGACGAATACAATGCTGACAGATTCACTCTTATTCCCCCTAATAATCAACTTGCAAGACCAAGCTGGCAAGTTCTGGGCCGCTTTCCAGGCGTGCCCCCTCTCCTCCCCCCAGGAAGAAAACTTGCCTGGATTTAAGGCGGAGCGGACACAGCAGCTGTTGCCTAAAAAGGCAGGAGCAGGGGGAGTGAGATGACAATGTCCCATAAAAATCCTGAATGGGAAAGGAGCAAACTGGACACACCCTAAAAATGATGCCAAAGGAGATTGCTAGGTGACAGCCGAGCCAGTCAAAGTAGCCCCAGGAGGAGAGATGTGGTCTTGTGGTCAGTTGGAGAAAGGGCAGGCCTGTGGAAAAGGAAATCATACTAATGCTTGGAGTCAGTAGCAACCTAAGTTATGACAGACACCAGATATTAGAAACCCAGATCTGAAAGTATAATCTGGGTCAAAACATATAGCTACTTGCCTAGTCTTCAATAATAAAAGTACTGCCATAGAAACATACTGCTGACTACCTGACCAGGATGGAGAGTCAAGACAGACCACCAAAACCGAAAACCCAATAATGGGGGATTTCAGCTATCCCCATATTGACTGGGGGAACATGTAACCTCAGGATGGGATGCAGAGATAATATTTTTAGACACCATTAATGGCTGCTTCTTAGAGCAGCTAATCCTAGAACCCACAAGGGTAAAGGCAATTGTTGACTTAGTCATAAGTGACGCAGAAGGACTGGCCGAAGAAGTGAATCTAGCTGACCTGCTTGGTAATAACAATCATTATGTAATTAAATGTAGCATTCTTGTAATGAGGACAACGCCAAAGAAACCCATCAGAGTAACAGTTCACGTCTAAAAGGGGAAACTACCCCACAAAAATGTCAGTTAACTGGAAATTAAAAGTAAGTCACGCGAGTGAAATGCTTGCAAGTAGCATGGGCACTTTTTAAAAACATGAGAATAGAGGCGGAATAAACCAAACCAAAAGAAAAAAAATACTACAAAGTAAAGAGGTGGTTAGAGACAAAAAGACCCCTTTAAAAACAAGAAGTCAAATCTGAGTGAAGAAAACGGAAAGGAACAAACTCTGGCAAGTCAAGAGTAAAAGTATAATTAGACAAGGGAAAAAAGAATTTGAAGAACAATTATCAAGAGACACAAGAACTAATAGCAATATTTTCTGAAGGAGGAAGCCTGCCAAACAGTCAGTGAGACCGTGGAAGCTCGAGGCGCTAAAGAGCCATACAAGGAAGACAAGGTAGATGCAAAGAAGCAAAATGAATTCTTTGCATCTGGTCTTGGATGAAAGGGAGTTTCCCACACCTAAGCCATTCTTCTTAGGTGACAAATCTAAGGACTTGTCCCAGGCTGAGATGCCAACAGAAGAGGTTTTGGAACAGGCTGATAAACAGCTCTGAAAGAGCTCAGACATGAAATTGCAGAGCTGTGACTGAAGTATGTAACGTATTGCTTTAAACCAGCCCCTGTACCACATGACTGGATGATAGCTAATGTGATGACACTTTTAAAAAAAGGTTCCAGAGTCTACTGAGTCCTGAGCTAGTCACTGACTCACCATTTCTCTTCAACAACTGATGGGATGTAAGGAGCACAAAATGATGAGGGGGCTGGAGCGCATGACCTATGAAGAGAGACTGAGGGATTTGGGTTTGTTTAGTCTGCAGAAGAGAAGAGTGAGGGGAGATTTGAGAGCAGCCTTCAACTTCCTGAAGGGAGGTTCCAAAGAGGATGCAGAGAGGCTGTTCTCAGTAGTGACGGATGGCAGAACGAGGAGCAATGGTCTCAAGTTACAGTGGGAGAGGTCTAGGTTGGATATTAGGAAAAACTATTTCACTAGGAGGGTGGGGAAGCACTGGAATGGGTTACCTAGGGAGGGGTGGAATCTCCATCCCTAGAGGTTTTTAAGTCTCGGCTTGACAAAGCCCTGGCTGGGTTGATTTAGTTGGGATTGGTCCTGCTTTGGGCAGGGGGCCGGGCTTGATGACCTTCTGAGGTCTCTTCCAGCTCTATGATTCTATAACACATGTCCCTTATCTGCTTCTTTCACTAGCTTAGCTAGGGGTGGGCAATAATTTTTGCAGGGGTGGGCCTTGAATGAATTTTGCTACTTGGTCAAAGGCTACCTCCACCCCCAGGAAGGGGGCGGAGCCTTGAGTGGAAGAGGCGGGGCTATGGACTAGCGTCCCTCCCTGCTCCGAATTGTCTGGGGCCAGAGGCTTTGAATTAAAAACACAGAAAAGGACTTGTGGTTCTTGGTCCCACCGCTACCGCGTCGCCTGGAAGCCACCCTGGGTTGCTGCGGCTATATAAAAGGGCTTGCAGCTCTGCCCTTGCCAGGGTAGCGCTGTGACCGTGAGTCATGAGCCATTTACATAGGATCCTGCTACCTGAGCCACCCACTGGAAATTTGCTGGCTCAGGCAACACGCTGAAAAAAGGAGAAACACAGGAGGCCAAACCCGAAACGAAGTTAGCCTTGCCTAGCCGTATCTACCTCACAGCTACCTGAAAGTCTGTACTTGTATAGCTGGTGATGCCAACAGCCTCGTGAACTGAATATGGCAGGCACCCAGGGACTGGCAGCAGGAAGTGCTACCATAAGGCCACTCAGATTGAGAAGCCAAAGAAGGGGTTTTAGCCAAGATCTAGTCAGATAGGTCTCAGGAACATTACAGAGTGAAAAAACACCAAGAAGTGTGTTCCTGCTCCTATGAGCTCAACTGAATAATGATGTAATAGCACTTTGCTGTCCAATCCCTGGATCTTAAAGCACTGTACACACTCTAATTAACCTCATGCACGCCAGACAGATGGGTAAATACTATAATCACTTGGGGAAAATGAGGCACAGGGTGGTTAACTGACTTGACTAAAGCTACAGCTAGCATTTCTAGGAATAAAACCTGAGTTCCCTATTAAACAGCCCTGTCTTTGAACCATTACCTGGCGCTTCAGACTCAAATCCTAGTATCACTACAAAAAACCAAAGGAGGCTAGATGGAAGTGTTTTAACAGCAGAGATGCAAGACTTACCCATGAATCGCATGGATGGAGTGGGGTTCGTAATGGTATCTTCCTTCCTGGTGACGCATGTCAATTGGCAAAGGAGCATGGAAGGCTGGAAAAACGTGCTGTGGAACTATTGATGGCCTTCTCTTGCTTGTATATTGCAGCTATTCTCTAAAACTTCAAAAACTTTTCCTTCCCTTTTAAAACTATTTCAAAGGAACTAAATCTCCATGAATTTCAGACCATGAGCAGCGCAAAGACAGGGGTCTTCATGATATCAGCGCTATCACGCAGCAGAGAAGAGGAATGAATAAATAATCAAAGTCATTCACAGAAATCCTACATCTTCAACATAAAAGATCTCCAACAGGGGTTTTGACAAAGACAAGCAGCTAAGCGCTCTTTGAACTCCAGGAGATTATAGGAAGCACCAAGGAAAACTAGCCTTGTAACACAAATGAGACTTTACAGAGCTTGGCAGCATCTAGATCTATGCCATCCCCAACACTGGGAACAGCAGCACTGTTCCTGAACAACTGTACACACAGACTGGGGACCGGGTTGGAACTATTTACTGAAAGCGCAACAGCAAGATGCCAACTGCGTTTACAGTCAGAGGTGGCTAGAAGGGTGCATTGCTCAGGTTCTGAGAAAGGAGCCTAAATTGCTCTCACTTGTCATCATTTGCGGCCCTATTTTTTATTCATTTGAGAAGCATGTTTCATCTTTGATGGAAGGATAAAGTGGCCTCGGAAGGCACAGAACACCTGCGCTGATTAATTAAATCCACAGACTTACCCCAAAAGTTACAGCAAGAAAGTTGTCGGACACGTGGAAAATTCATCAGTTTCTTTCTCCACATCACCCTGGACTATTCAGATTTATGGCCATGTGTCTTTGTTCTAAAGTTATGGTAGCTAAGAGAAATGCTATCAGCAGGGCCCTAATAAATATACTATACAGTAGTCCTTTGGTAGGAAATATTATCTGGTCTATAATGATGGTGCAGTCCACATTTGTAGCTGCGATCAGATGTAAAAATTGAAAGGCCGGACTGCATCTCTATTAGACACAGAGAGAAAATTTCTTGATTCAAGACTATCTGAAGATTTCAGAGGTCTTCCTCAGCCTTGCTCCCCAATTTTCATCATTTCTGTATAACTGGAGCTTTTAAAATATTAGGTTATTGTTCCAAAAACCAATTTAACTAAACACTCCCTGTAACTTGCTTCCACCATGTGCAGCATTTCTCAGTCATCCCAAAATAAACCTACAATTCTTCAGGGCTTGGCCCAGATCCGTAGCTGGTGTAAATCAGCGCAGTTCCATTGACTCCACGCTCATTTGTAAGGAGGACTTAACAGTCCCAGGTGTGATAAGAGCGTAGCTTTGACTTCAAGGGAGCTTTGTGGATTTGCACCAGCAGAGAATGTGGTCCTTTAGGTTCAGCTACAGAAAAACTGCCTTAAAAATCTCTATTTACATCCTGGCAAGTCAGGAAGGGGATCTGAAGATCTGATCTGCATTTCAATCTAAACTCCTTGAACTCAGCATCACATGCCTATCTGGATACTGCGTCAGCTGGGCTGCCAGCGGAGGCGAGAGACTACATAAAAACAACTTGCCTGCCAACCACGCTGAAAGGAGTTAAGCTAAAGGACGGGGTGGAAAGTATTCAAGGTTCCACAGCAGACGTACTTTCAGTGGTGGAGTGGAGAGCTGGCCTGATACAGTAGAAGCATTTTTGCCGCCTGTCTAATGGGGGCTTAACAGTTACTCTACTGTGTCCTCACAAGAAAGGAGAATAAACAGGCACCCTCCAAGAATTTTCTTTTGCAGGCAAAAGATTGACTCATCTTCTTTAACAGTGCTGGGTAACAGAAATCTTTGAAATGAAGGCACTTGACAGAAATCCTCATTTTTAAGATACAGCTCTAGTGTTTTTCTTAGTCAGAAATGCAGAACGAAGCTGCGAATGCTGAAAAGCCACCTCCAAACTGCAGCTAATGGCTTGTTGCACATCTGCTGCTATTCTCCTTTCTAAGGCATGGCAATCGGCAGGCAACTATCAGGGACTAGGGATGTTAAATACTAGCTACTTGAACAGTCGATTAATCTCGTTCATTCTTGTTGGTTCCTCGACTATTCTATAGTCCCCATGGGTGGGGCGGGCAGCTAGTACATTCCAGCCCCAGTCCCGAGGAGCCCCTTGCTACTCTGCACTGCTGCCTCTGTATCAGAAGCAGCAGCACTGTGTGCCAGGTGGGAGCCGATCTGTGTTTAAAAACCAGCTCCCCTCGCAGGCCGGCTGCCTGTTGCCCTGCACTGCTGCCTCTGATACAGAAGCAGCAGCACAGGGGGGCAGCAGCCTCCGTCTGCAGCAGCCTCTGTCTGAGGGAGTGTCTGAGACTGTGGACCCTGTGCAAGCTGGAACTGAGCCAGGCTGCCTGCCCCAGGCTCCTAATACACTTTACATGCAGAGCCACAGTGGGGGAAGGTCCCAGACCTGGTGCAAGCCAGGACTGAGCTGAGTGGCCGGCCAGCCTGCTAAAAATTTACTGGCGGGGGGGAGCAGGGGAATGCATGCAGTCTATAGCATTAACCAATACGTTTTTGCTTATCAGTTAATCGACTACACTATTACATCCCTATCAGGGACTGGGGTTGATCATTCAGAGACTGCCCTGATCTCTTGGGAAAGGATTGTTCCACCAAACCTCCTCTTTGCCAAGCTTGGAAGGGCATGACACAATGCACAGGAGCCTTCAGTGGTCCCTCAGTCTCCAGTGATATCAATGCAAGCTATGAAAGGGGGAAACCGATCCCAGAGGCATGCAAGAAGTTTTGCAGGATGTGGCTTGTATCTGTCCGGGATGTACCGAGCAAGCATTGATGCTGTCATACATAATGATCACACGATCACATGGTCACTATCAGTACTCTCTCTAAGATCATCCATCCAGGAGCAGAGTGAGTTTTGTCTTGTGCACCGCAATGAAGTCACATGCGCTTGTTCAGATGTGTGCTGCTGTGGTGCCCATTCATGGGAGAATTCCCCTGCCATGGTTCCTTGCAGCTCCGGGCAAGGGGGCGTGAGGGCGTGAAGCTAAGGGCAGGGGTGGTGCGGACGTACATCTAGTGCTTTGGCAATGCGGAGGAAGCCCAGAGCTTGACCTACTAAAATGAGATCAGGCACTCAATGTAGCAGATAACTGTTCTAGTCCCGGGTCTACCCTTCCCCCCAGCGAGAGGCGGGATAAAGGGCACCCTGAGAGTATGGTAGTAGGGCAGGTTCCAGCATGGCCTAGGGGATAGGTTATTTTCCTGGGGTGGGGAGGGCAGGTTCTAGTCCTAGGCCACCCCAGGGGCAGGCAGGATAAAAGTGCCCTTGGCACTAGCAGTCTTATATCACTTTGCCCACATTAAACAAACAAGGCATCCCAAACCTTCTGTGATGCTTTTCAGGCACAATGTCCCTATGTTATACACAGGGAAACTGAGGCACGAAGTAATCAATAAATTGCCTGCAGTCACACAGGAAGACATCAGCAGAGCTGGGCACAAATAAAAGCAAACTGCAATAGTCCCACCTTCTCTCCTCCAGCTCACCATACACAATACCTCCCACGTGTCAAGCCTGCAATAAAAGACACAGTACAACTCTTAGCTCCAGACTTGCTCATGGCGTGGATTTTTGGTCAGTGATCCATTCCTCTGGCATATACAGCAAAAGGGTTTAACATCCAGGATCTGTTCTCAACTTGGAGCGTTTTTTTTTTTTTGTTTGTTTTTTTGGTATCTTTCCCTTCTCTGTTTTAATAATAGGAATGAAGAAACTCTTCAATCCCAACCTCCAGCGGCAGCATCCCTCCTGCCCACTTGAGACCCCTCCCTTCTGCCCACCTGCCTGTGGCCTCCAACCCTGGTGTCAGCAACCCACCTGCCACACAGTTCCTCCCGCCGTGGCCAGCTGGCTGGAGCAGCTGCCCACCTGCCAAGTGGCTCCTACGGCCCTGGCCACGGGAGCAGCTGTTTACCCGCCACCCAAGTAGCCACTTACCTCCTGCCACGCAGCTGCACAGCTCTGCTTAGGAGGTGGGCAGGGTAGAAATTTCCTCTGTGCACAGCTTAGAGGGAACTATGGTCACTATCAGTGTTCCCTCTTAGCTGAGTGCTTCAGCAGCCCCCCAGGATTGATTTAGGTGCTGCCCAGCTGATTAGCAGAGCATCCACAGCTGGCAGCATGTGTCTCCACTGAGGGTGCACATCCATACATGCCTCAGTGCACTCCACACTGAGGGTGCACATCCACACATGCCTCAGTGCACAAAACAAAATTTATTCCGCTCACAGATGGAAAAAAATTAGAGAGAACCCTGGTCACTCTATATTTTGTGTGCTGTATTGAATAGCCTGCCTGTGCTGGACAAGTCACATAGTTACATTGCCAGAACTGCTGCTGCTGGATGCCTCTGGCCCCATATGTCTTGCCTTACGACTGCCAATGACTAAAGGAGGAAGAACGTAAGGCAGCACTGATAATTTATCTGCAGGAGCATTCCTTTCCCGGCAAGCATGGTTTGGGGAAGGCAGACCTGCTTGCTGCTTTGCCTCTTTTTCTTGGGCACAGGCCACATCAAACCAATCCCTTGCCGCAGTTTCTAATCAGGCCCCAATTTAGTCATATTGAGAGGAATTTAAACATGTAGCATTTTCCCCATTGGCACATTTGGATTTTTTTAAAAATATCTCAATTTAGACCAGGGATGGGGAAACTAAATCCCGGGGGCTGGATGTGGCTCCCAGATTGCCTGGATCTTGCCCCTGAGGATCAGGGATCCCCACAGTATTGGGGAGCCCGCTTTGGTGCGCTAGCCCTCCCCTCCCAATGGGCTGGTGCACACAGAAATCTACTAGGTTGGGCCCCTCTAGGCTTTGGCGTGTGAGGTTATTGTGGGGAGTGTCTTTCTCCTTCGCAGTCAGGGTGCCAGATCAATGAAGAGCGTTTTTTTGGTTTTGGGTTTTCACTTGTATGTGGCCCCCAACTGATTTTTCTGTGGGTCAGTGGTCCTGGACCCAAAAAAGGGTTCCCTACCTCTGGCTTAGACATTGGCGAAACTAGTCAGTTTC